TTTCCGTTGCACTTTGTCGTATTTTTACTTTTATCAATTCACTAACTTTTCTATCCCACAGCCAAGTATAAAAACTGTTTTCAGCTTCTCCTTTATTTTTCTCGATTCTCTGCGTGAATTGAAAGATGCACACAAAAACAGGTGGATTTAAACACGCTTTTATTGCGCGTTGAGGCGAGCGTGCTAAACTCAGTGCCCTGTCGATCTTATTACTCGCAGGGGCAGAAGAGGCTGATTAATTGCAACAAAGCCTATTTGTCAGGGGAAATCAAATGGCCCAAATGTTATAGAGCCCAAATTCTGACAAGCTTTTACCTGCACAATTAAATAGACACTAAACGTTTTAGCGCACCGTAGGTCAAAGGTTCTGTCCCATTGACGTTACAGCTCTTCTTCTCAACTACAAGAAAACTTTTCATCATGTTTAAATCAAAATATTGCACATTGTTCCAGCCTCTTATCATAACACCATAAATATGGCATCAACAGAATGAAATTAAAGTGAAGCCATGGTTTAAAAGAAATATTTAAAATGCCATGATGAAACTAAAGAGTGTGACCTGTTGTTGAATCTATCTCGGCAGGGCTGGTCCAAGCTTTTTGGAGCCGCTATGATTTTTTGATCAGTCAGCAAACTGAAATGAATTAAAGTAAGGAAGTAAGTAAGATAAACTGACCTGGTTCACTTTCCTTTAATGGCAGCTCATAAAAGTGTAAGGAAAAAAATGAAATACTGTAAGATACTTAAAGAAAAGTTGTTGTTTTTTTTAATGATTTTTAGTAAACTGAACCGGGCTTGGGTGAAATCTTTGTTATTCCAATTTTCAGGGCATACATGCTTCACAAAGCTTTCTTCAGATTCCTGTGTAATATAACAGCAACGAAACACCGTCATCCAGCTAAAATCGACATTGACAAAGTTGACATCTTGGATATATTGTGTTTTTTCACATTCTAATTTTTTTTAGTTTTGCAGCCATTCGGTGCCCCACCCCCCCAAGCAGCTGCCAAGTCCCACTCGAAACAACTCTCCTGTGGTTCCACTTTTTAAAACACCGAATAAATTGAGATTAATTAATAAGATCAGATAAGATCATTAAAGTTAAGATAGGATAATCCAACTGAGGGAAATTAAAGTATTGAGCATAAATACTTGACAGCAGTGAACATTAATATTATGTTTCCTGTCTAACAAAGTCCTGACTGTTAACCTGAAGTAAACGGACCCTGTTCAGCGTTGGTGTGTCCCATCCTCTGGCCTCACCCCAGCCTTTGGAAACCACTGCTCTCATGGTTGTGTAGGTCTATAGAGTTCTAATTAGCTGCATTCACAAACAGCGCCGGGCTCATCAAAATGCCGAGGCCTGCAGAAAGCCACAGCAGGGGTGAGCAGAGCGTGCGTGCGTGCGTGTGTTTGTGTGTGTGTGTGTGTGTGTGCTGCATCTTGTACATGAGAGTGTTTCAATGTGTGCGCATGGAAAACAGAGTGTGATTTGTGTACCGCAATGAGTGTATGTGTGTGTGACACCAGTGTGTGTTCCTGTATCAAAAGAGGAAAGAAGAAAAAAAATAAAAACAATTCCAAAATGAAGATACACATCGAAGCAACAAACCGAGGCCGAACAACTGCTACAAATTCTACAAAAACCGGGCCTGTTTTTTTTTTTTTTTTTTTTCAAAATCACAACATTTGTCGTCCTTCCTCGCATTTGTATGCACGCCACCGAAGCAAACGACATCCCCGAAAACCACAGAGCACAAACAACAACAACAACAACAACAACAACAACAACAACCACACAACAAAGCAGTGAACAAAGAAGACGTCTCGGCATCTTCTCTGTTTTGCAGCCAACTAACAAAATGGCTTCCGAACACCGTTTAGAGGCAGATAACATGAGTGTGAGTAGCAGAAACGACCCGGCTGTTTCTTGTGAGAACCTCCCAGGAAATATTTCTTACAGAAAGTACCCACCTGCTCTGAATTGACGAACGTTTAGCCTTTTCTCGTACAGACTGATCAGAGCTAGGATGTCATAGAACACACAGCAGAGAACAATACAGTGCATTCAAACACTGGGAGGTACATGAAGGCAATGCAGCAAAACCTACAACAAAGAGGTGAAATATAGAAGTGTATATGCAGTTGTCTGTGTCTATGTATGACTTGTACAGCTGCACAAGATGTAGTATTTCTATATTTGTTTCAGTATTTATATCCACGACACTGCAAATACTGTCAATATAAAGATGTTGAGTATAAATTCGTTTCATTATCCAATGATTCAAGTTGATCAGCTGGTAAAAATATGTCCAACTAACTGACTGACGACCACACAGAGAAGTAGCTGCTCCCAGGCTTTAAAACATAAAACATGAGCTACAGGCCTAGTTGTATTATTCCTCCATTATCAGCATCTTACAGATATTTTTTGAAGAGTGAAGAGATTCTATATTATAAAGATCAGATTGATTGAATTTACACAATGACTACAAACTGCACATTCACATAGTTACACACTCTGTAGCTGTGGCCCAATTCAGGGGCGACATCCTTCAGAGGACGCTGTCAACGAAGCTCGTCGCCCAGCGAAGGCCGACCCGCAATAAGTCCACTGAGGATTTCCGCTCTGCGTCACCAGCTGTGCCCAACCGTACCGTTGCGTCACAAAGCGCGGCTCTTGTCACCTAGCAACACATAACTTTTTTTTTTCCCAAAAGCTTGAGGTTTTAAGGCCCGTGGTTTAAATAGTTGTACCGTTAGCTGTTGAACTGAGAAGAAACCCAATACTTACATTTAAAAGTTGTAATCCTCGGGATCTCCGTTGGTGTTTCTTTGCTTTCATTACCTGTGCGCAATGAATCTTGGACCACGACGGTTTCAACAGGTGGATCTTTCGTGGCCCGACCTATCTCAAGATTCACTGTCCGTTGGATCCCTCGTTGCACTAGTTACGCCGCTGTGACACAATTGGTCTTCAAATGCAGAATCCAAAGGATGCAGCCCCTGAATTGGGACACAGCTTCTATATATGTCTATTACTAACGTGTCAACAATTGATTAACTGACTGAATCACTGTCACTGACGAGGGCCATTGTCATTTCAAGTTTCACACACCTGGATAAAATCCAGATGAGATAAATGAAATGTTTGTTCAGATATAGGCTTCTCCACTGGCCACCTCATAAATCTGATTACAGTTCATTTTGGTTTTCCCGGGTGACATGGAGATGGGCATCGGCTCTACTCCGGTCCAGAGGCCAGTGGTGGTAATACACCTTAAACTGACAAAAATGCCAGAAGAATAAAAATGTGCAGTTTAGTTATAGCAATTAACAAGTTAGCAATTACAGCTAGCTAGCTAGCTAAAAACAATCTATAAACAAACTCAAGCAGATGAATTAGTCATATTTATGAACTACGAGTGAGACAAAGGTTTCGCCCACACGACTTCCTCACACACAGATCAGTCAAGAGCTTCAACTGATAAGGGATCAGATTAATCTCTGTGCTTCTGTATGACATATTCATGCAGATGTCTGGTGCGGCCATTACAACATGACACTTTTCAATATTACTCTACTGATAATTTTGGTGTTAGCGGTTTGACTAAGATTTAATACGTGTATCTAACATCTAACATCTAACTGCACAACCACCTGACTGACTGAGCTTAATACAGTAAGTGAATGAGTGGATGAATTACACATTCAGAAACTACCTCATCACTCACCCATTCACTAACAAACTGAATGGGTGAATGAATCACTAACACATGAAAGTGGGAACCTACAAACTGACTCATTCTTGAACTAGTTTACTGCCTTGAACCACTGAGTGGCTGAATGAATGAAACACAGACTCCATAACTATAATGACCGACTGACTGAATTAGTGAGGAACAGACCTAACTACTAACTGCGCAGTTAAAACTTCACATTCAAACACTCATATCCAAATTATTTTAAAGCCAAAGCCACCATGTTCCACCAGTCATGAAACCAAACTGTGCATGTTCGACACCAACAAGACCACTGTCTAGAAAAGCACAGTGAACACGCACGCACGCACACACACACACACACACACACACACACACACACACACAGAGAGAGAGGCAGGAAAGAATGAGAGCAGCAAATCAGAAAAACAGGAAGTCTCCTTCAGGAATGAACTTGAGCAGCTGAAAAACAAATGTCGCTTTAAAATAAAGAAACATGAAAAATCACATCATTACCTCCAGACAGCATTTTACCCAACAACATTCATGTGTTATTTACTGTGACATGAAGCAGGAACGAACATGCACAAATCACACAGGATACAAAAAACCCCCCCTTTAGTCAAAATTCAAGCACCCAGCATGCATTAATCCGCTGCAGAAAATAGTCCTCAATAAGTGCACTATTTCCTCCTGTCTAAGTAACATTTATTTAAAACTACAGTGCCCTGCTGTTAGGAAATCACTGTTCATTTTTTTAATGAAACAACATATTTGTGAGCCCCCTTTCTAAGATGTGGAGTGAATGAGCCAGGAGCTGCAGACAGAGTAGAGAAGTAAGCGACGGACTAACGCGTAATCACAGTGATATAATCAAACCATGCCGCCTCATTGTTTGAGCAACATATGACGCATGAAACATTTTAGTACAGAAAATACCAAGAGGCTCAACAACAGAGCCAACCAGAAGATTCACGTAAGCAAATTATATTTTTAAAAAAAATAGACCTCAAAATAAAGTGATCCACAAAGCAAAACAGCATAAAACCCCCAAACTGCATCTGCATGTACAGAACATGGTTACCCTCACAAGAAAATTCAAACAGCAAGCGAAGCAGCAGCGAGCAGGTGTAAGAGGAAGAGGGAGGAGGAGGCTGAGAGAGGACTGAAGGAAAAGAAGAAGAAGTAGAAGAAGAGGAGGAGGAGGAGGAGGAGGAGGGGAAAAAAAAGGAGAAGGCTGACGTACTTGAGCCGGAGAAATGTCCGCTCCCCAGGGAGGTCGGCCCGTTCTTTCCACTGCTAACAGGAGGGGAAAACATCTACAAGACAAACAGAGCGCACATTACCTCTGAGAGCACTGACACTGCAGACAGCAAGACACATCTCTAAAGAAACATCTCTGCAGCTACACATGAAAAAGCTTCATTCCAAAACGCCAGATCAACATTTGGCTGAAAAACGGTGTTCCCAGATTCTCATCACATTATCTTGCTAGGAAATGTCAGAAATTTAATGGTCACTCAGTGTTCTTTGTTTTTATCTTATCACAGCAGTTTTTTTTTCTTCTGCTTTTCAATGTTTCATTGTTTTGGAAGGAAACTCTAGGGGTTTTTAATGAGAAAAAATTTCCATCTTGACCAGGGCTGTGTATCATTTCAATACGAATAAGAAACCTCCATTTTGGTGCCAAATGACAAACTCAATTTTCCTCAATTCCTTACTTTGGAAAAAGCATTATAAATATGTTTTACATTTAACAAAAGAACCCAAAGTTCTAAAGTGTTATTGTCTTTTTTGTTCTCAAGTGTATTGTCTTTTTTTGGTTACTACTGTATCTGATCAGAGTCACTAAACACAATTCTGGACAAGGATTTATTGTCTGCAGAAGTGGGACAGAGTCACTGTTTTGCAACTTGCATGTAAGTCTCAAATTATGTCCCGAGTCATGATAGACAAGTCCTGCATCAAGTCACAGACCAAGTCCAGAGAGAAGTCCAACAAGTTCTAAGAATCACAGTCCTGAGTCAAGTTCCAGGTCAGGTAATCCCACATTAAGTCAATACAGGTACATCCCTCACCAAGTCCCATGGGGAAGAAAGGAAAATCCCAAATCAGCTCCCAAGTCAAAACAGGTCAATCCCAAGTAAAGACCGACAAGTCCCAAGTAAAGTCCCATGTTAAGACAGGTAAGTCACTGTCTGGAGTCCCTAAGTTAAGACATGTCTTTTGCCAAATTCAATGGCATTTAAAAAAAATGTTAAACAGCGAATCAGTAGTTACAGTACAAATGAGTCTTTATTGAAGTTTGTATTTATTTAAATTTCAAAATCAAACGAATCAATCAAAGTTTTCTCCAGTTAGCGCCGGACAGCAACGTGACGTCAGGAACATGTTGGACTCGGGACAGATGTTAAATTTGAGTGGGAAATAAAAATGAGGTTGATGTCAAACATAACTTCGGCTAACTGACATTATGAGGTTTAGCAGATGTTAAGCAGACGTCGGGTTCTGGTCTCCGTACCTCACAACTACAATGTCAGTATTTACATTAACGCAGCGGCGTTCCATAGCTACTCTATGTCAAGACGGTGCTAGCATCAGACATTATTAAGAATATGGGTTTGGTTACTTAACAACACAACTTAAATCACCCGACATCACAACATGCATGCCTGCTGAGTGTGTTATTCCTGTTTGTGCAACCTGATTGGTTGTAATTGATTTAAGTATAAATGAAATTAAGAGTTTTTTTTTTTTGTTTTTTTTAACATGTGATTTTTAATCATTGGCTTTAAGCAGTAAAAGTCATTTCCAGTCAAATGGCTGGAGCCTAAGTCATGAGACATTGGTGTTAAAGTAAAAGTCAAGCTGCAAGTTGTTTTGGATTTTAAGTCAAGTTTAAAGTAATCAAAATGGCTTTGGTCGATGTCATGTGACTGGAGCCCACACCCCTCGGTGCCAGCTTTTACTACCTCTTAGTATCTGATACTCGATGCTGTGGACACATTTTGGTCTGTGCTGAAAATGTATTGAGGTTTGATACCCAGCCCTAGTGATCACACACATTCTCAGCTCGGAGCTGAACACAGATATGAAGAGTTCATTTTCCAAAACACCGTGGAAACAGTTTTGAAAAGCAGAAAGAAATCAAATTCCTCATTCAGCATCTGTGAAAAATAAACAGGATCCAATCACTCAAATCACCTGCTCACCTTTGAGAAAAATGTGTTTTCATTCTAAAGTGTCTATTTTGCCAAATGTTGGACGGCTCATTTTGGAATGAAACACTTCATATCTACTTCATATCTGACTTAAACATATGAGATAATCATCAGAACTAGTTGGCATCTGCTCTACACATGTACAGGAAAATCAAGCCCATATTAAGACAGAGACTGAGGCTGAATGCTGATTCCTGCTGTGTTACTGTACAAGCTACTGTAAAGCTTTACAGCAAAACAGTTCACGGTATCAAAGTGAGACATCTGACCCCGATAGATAACCTCTCTGGATAAACATCAGGCCTGCGTGTCGGCGTGTTTGATGGTGAAATCTCACTGATCGTGAACACACTCTGAGCTTCCTCACTTTCAGATGTAAAAAGCAAAAGAATTTTAGTTTTTGACAGATTTTTTTTTTTTTCTTTCTTTTCTTTTGAACTGATCAGGATACAAGTAAATTAAACCCTGACTAGCAAACGATAAATACTTGATCCGTCATTGTCTTTAACACAGCCTGTTGGGCCTGTAAGTCTGAACGTTGGATACGAAGCTTGCTTGTATGTTCGATCTCCCTCGCAGCTGCAAACAAAGAGAAAACAAATGTTTGGGAGATAAAAGATCTCATTCTGATTATTAGCAGGTCTATCAATATCCCAGTCGAACCATTTTGAGCTGCTGGTCTCAGCTTGTGGGCGTGTAAAGACAGATGATCGCATAAATTAATGTTCGGCCTGCGTTTATAATGAGAAGAGACACATTTTAGCTGCTGCTGCCCTCCTTTGTTTGATTTTTTTTTTTTCTCAAGAAATATGATTTAAGACACACTGGTTGATCTCTTTGTAAACCTGTAAAAGAAATACGTCTATAATATGTTTTTTGTACACAATTGTCCACAATTGTAATCCTATAATATATCTAGTTCATAGTTACTTGATGTGTGAATGTGTCTGTCACTAAATTATGAATTTATGGTGATTTTATTTCAGTTCATGGTATTTTGTCACCTATAATATTACTATAGTAGTTTTTACAGTATTTATGGTATACATATGTATAAATATATAAAACATACTGTATATTTGTATCATTCAAATGTTTCTAGTAATCTATTATATCTCTATGGTTCTAATTAATTAAGTCAATTAATTATTTTAGGTCTTTTTCTAATAAAAAGTGACTATAACAATCTTTTAATATTCCTGATATTCCTTACAAGGATTGGTATGTGTTTCTGGAACTGAATTATGAATTTAATGATCTTATTGTGAGCTTTTCTTAATAAATGTCACCATAACATTGCTATTATATCATTGCACTGACTTGAATGTATGTGTGTGCCACTAAATTAAGAGTTAGAGGTGGTTTTATTAGACTTTTGTGGTACTTTTCTAACGTATTTTATAACTGTGTAGACGTGTACTGTGATCCTAATGTATTTACAGTATACACACGTGTGTTTTATTACTATAATATTGCCATAGTGGCATATTATATGTATATTCTTCTAAATTCTGACTTTGCAGAGATTTTATTGTACGACTTTTGGTAAAAAATCAGACAGTAACAGTCCTACAATATTCCTGAACCATTCACAGATTATCCTGGTGTAGTGAGTTATTACATAAAGACTATGACCTGGTGTCCCTATTCAAAAATCTGTATGAGTGCAGCTATAGGAGTTAATAGTGTGTGTTGGAATCCAATGGTGAGGTTATAATGTTCTTTAAATAGCTTCTGAATTCAAAACTCGTCTGATATCTCTGGGATATTTCTGATACCCCTCCACATAGTCTATAACAGGGAATATCCAGGCCTCAGCTGGGGTCTCATTTGTTTACTGCATTAACATTATTGTAGAAATGTAAAGTATCGAAGGCTAATTAAGTGATTTTCTCTCATACTTATATCTCATGCAGCATCACTTCCAGTAACACTGATATTTTCTGATAACAGTGTGTCCATACTGTTTCATAACAGAATTAATGGAAGTCCGTTTTTTTCTATTCATTTAGGGGTGTTTCTGATTTTTTTTTTTTTCCTCCTCTTCAGGCCAAAGTTGCTCCCAGAGGAGGAGAGGCACAGGAAAAAAAAAAAAAAAAAAAAACATGGCCGAGAGCGGGGGACACTTTTTCCTGTCCGTCAAGTTCACAACACAGTGTTCTTTAAAAAAAAAAAAAAAACTAAACAAAAAAAAAAACACGAACTTTAGTTTGGGCATTTACCATCCTGCTGCAGGAACGTTTAAACTGCGCAGAGAAAAGTGTGACACAATTCTGTCTTTTCGACCGCCTGTCTATCTGTCTGACTGTCTGTATGTCTGTCTGACTGTCTGTCTGACTGTCTGTCTGACTGTCTGTCTGTCTGTCTGTCATGCAGGTTCATGATTCAACACCGAGCCTTTTGCATCTGAAATGTTCTTGTACAACACGGTGCAGAGTGCATGGAGCAGCCTATTCTGAACACTCACACAGACAAAAAAAAAAAAGAAACATTTTGTAAATCCTATCATGGGCAAAAAAAAGAATCAGGCTACACATAAAAAGGAAAAAAGGACTTAAAATGAGATATACTACCATGGATGTTGGGAACATTTTCAAATCGCTGTTTCGCATCTATAAGACAACAAAATTACTAATGCAGCAGACCAATTCTCTGCACACACACACACACACACACACAAACAAAAAAATTAAATTACAAAACCAACAATATGCACGGACTTTTTTCTGCAAGTTACTCTACATAAACACACAACTTCTGTGCAAATAGTTGAAAAACTGAGTGGCTAAAATATGCAGGTTATGTGCCGTGCAACTCATACATTAAAAATGTAAACAGTGGTCTCTGTATGTAGCCAACAGGACGCGTTTATTCTCCTCTCGGGTTGTACTGTCATGATACTATAGTCATTATATCCATATTAACAAGAAGAAGAAGAAGAGGAAGAAGAAGAAGAAGAAGAAGAAGGTGAATTCGCTTACCGCGCTGAAATCCAGTAAGTCACTCAGTTCCTTGTCTGTTCCCAAAGCTGCCATCCGCTGTTGATGATGCATTTTAGCAAAATCGCACGGACCTAAAAACATGGAAACAAATGGAGAGATAGATGGATAGAAGAGGATAGGCAGACAGATTGATAGATTGAGAGACAGAGGGAGGGAGAGAGGAGAGAAGAGAGGAGGAAGACCTCGGCTTTTTTTTTTGCGCACCGCTCCGCTCCCGGATCTCTTTTCCTCCACAGCGAAATAAATCCAGTAAAACAACCTCAAAGCCTCGATCACAAATCTAGTTTTCTTTCATCCTCGGAGCAGCGGCTCAGTCCCGGGTTCCTGGTTTTGGCAGCAGGAAATAAATCGCAAGAAAAAACTGACAGGAAATAAAAGAAGGGGGGCGACAGGACGGGAGTCTCTTCGCGTGTGTTTTGGTGTGTTTTCCCCCAGTCAAAGAAGTCCGACCTCTCCGCGTTAAGACGCAGTTTGTCCGCCGCGGCTGACTGTCAGGCTCACACACGATATAAATAAATAACACGCTGTGTCTCCGCGGAGGAAAAAAAGATCACCTCAGAAATGTGTGCGAGGTGTTCTATGTGTGTGTGTGTGTGTGTGTGTGCGTGTGTGCGTGTGTGTGTGAGTGTGTGTGTTTGTGTGTGTGAGTTGTGTCAGAGGAAGAGACGAGGCAGGGTGAGCGCTTGCTCCTGACCGGGCTAAGGGTGCCCTCCGCTCGGCTGCGGGTGCTGAAGATCCCCGGGTACGCAGGACGGATCCCATGTGCGTCTGGCACAGCCTCGGTGAAATAAATGTGTTCGTGCGGCCACCTAGCTTACATTCTCATCCAACACCACCGCGCCGAGCACCGTGCTGCTGCTGCTGCTGCTGCTGCTGCTGCTGCAGGAGAGAGCGGAAAATCTGCAAGAAAAATAAATAAATTTTAAGGAAAAATTGGTTTGTTGGTGTGATTGATTGGCTGATTGGTGCGGTGATTGGCTGGTTTGATTTGGATTGGGTTAATTGGGCTAATTGGGGAAGGGAAAGGTGATTTTTCGTTTCTTCCGGAGTTTAGGAAGTGTAATGGTGCTGGAACACAGACAAAATAAAACTTTTTGAAAATATTTTTGAAATATTATTAATTATTCATGTGTTAAATTTATATAGTAATTTATATTTTCTTCATATCTGTATTTATTTTATTATTTTTTTGATTCATTAAGTGGTTAGTTTTTCAAATAATTATGTCTATGCATATGTCTGTTTATGCATCTTTTCTAATGTATTTTATGTAGGCACTTCTTCTATCGCCTTTTTATTGATGAGACCATAAAGTGCAACAAGTGCAGTACTTGACCTGCATGGAAACTTCCTATGGGTCACCACTTAAACCGCAACAGCACCAAAAGTCTCCTCTCTGGAAATACTTTGCAATACTTTGCAATACTTTGAGATTTGTGTGTGTGTGTGTGTGTGTGTGTGTGTGTGTGTGTGTGTGTGTGTGTGTGTGGTGTGTTTGCAGCCCACAGCCTGCAGGTATGAAATGACTGGCCTATTTCTGCAAATTACAGCCTGCATGTGCAGGTTTTTCTCATGGAGAAAAAGCCAGCAAAAAACACACAGGTGCAGACACGACATAAAGGCTTATTTGTTGCTGTATAAAGTGGTCCTGCCTGTTGGCCCCTTCACAGCCCTTCACTCTCAAACAAACTAAAAGCCATGTAACAGCTTATATGGAAGAAAAAAAAAAGGAGAGCGCATAGATCCACTTGTAACTAAATATGTAATGCTTTAATCTGTGAACACCGGTCCTGATCTGAGATGGATTTAAACAAATGTTTCGCTGTTAAAAGTGTTGATGGGGCAATCTTATCAGACATGAAGTGGACAGTAAACACACTACAACTCTTAATCCACTTTTTCACACACCTGGTAGGCCTGATGTTTACACACTGACACACTGACAGACACTGCTCACATGGCCAGCCCCGAGAGTGATCACCAAGCACGCAAAGCAGGAAAGTGACGCCCCTCATTTTGGAAGCCCAAACTGCCAGACTGTCCCAGAATCCCTGTCAATTTGTCAACTGGTTTGAATGCAAATTTACAAGAGAATTTGGATCACATAAGTGCAATATAAACCAAGATGAGTCCTCCATTATGAGCTAATCACATAGCCTGTGTCAAACTCTCCTCAGTGGAGGTCAAACAGCTAACTTTTGCTAACCTGCCTGGCCTGAGCCTTTTTGGAATTAATGAAAGTAAACATGGATTGAGTGTTATATTGTCGATATTGTCACTGAGTCATAAAGAAAAGAAGAAAAAAAAAACACTTATGTTGTCAGGGTGTCCAACCCAGAAAACTAACAAATATAGAGTTAAAGTTGATACTGCAGACAGTTAATCAGAGCAACAAACTGAGGCCACTGGCTGTCTGCAAAGGAGGAAATCCATCCAAAACATCAGCATGTAAAAGTTTGTAATTTCGAGTGAAAGTGCAACATGCTAAACCACAGAGAGAACACCGCTTCTAAAAAGTAGATTACTAAGTCATTTATGAGGACAGTTTTCAAGTTTAGGCGACTAACACCACTTTAAGTTTAAGTTCAGAGAAAGTTTCTTCATGATAAAGAAACCACGACACACGTATCTAAGACTGGGGTTGATGAAGCTGCTTTAATCAATATTTTTATATCCACTATAGATCAAATGTTTATGTTTAATGTGAGAGGTGTTGCTTGTAGTGACAAACTCACAGAGAATGATCACCTCCTCATCTACGGAGCTTTTTAGCCTCCCTTAGCGCATAGTTTTGGTTTTACAGCACAGTTGCTTTATACTACTCTCAGTACTCTCATTAACTGTATTTCCAGCAGCAGCAGCAGGCAGCTGTTTTCAGCAAACAAGCTCTGATAAACCCACTGTACAGTTCCTGTACACTGCTCCATTAGCGACTAACTGGTGAAGAAGGTGAAACAGTTAGCTAACTGATTTGTTTCCCCACAAACACAAATCCAATGGGAAGATAATATTGCTCTCTGTCTGTAGGATGTGTAAATAAGAAATTGTTTGCTAACACGTTAGCCATTACAGCTTCTTAAGGTGATAATAATATGCAAATTTTGTGTTTACACTTTGTTCCACTTCCCCCATGTAACAAAAAAAAACAAAACAATTTAATTATTTTGGTAAAGACAGACAGAAAAAGAGGGAAAGACAGAGGACAAAGGTAATCTGTTAAGCTGTTGTTCAGGCTGGATCTTAAAGAAGATTGTCACCACATTTACGTCATCTGTTTACTTGTGGCAGAGATCAAGAAAACACCAAACCTCTCCTGACCCGTCATCTACTCTCTTTTTAATCGCTTTCATTCTGCTGTGAGTTTGAGACTGTCCTCCTGTAAAAAACAAGCCCATAGGTCATCATGTGCAAGCAGCTTATCATGACCCGTAGTTAAAGCTCCTCCAACCTGAACGTCCACACAGGTCGTGTTTTTCAACCCTCTGATGCGACCCATAGGAGTGTCTCCTCAAACAGTGCCCCTATGGCGGCAGGTGTACCGGACCTTGGTTGTCATGGTTACAATAATAAACACGCAGACTGTACCGACAACGGTGTACTTATCTTTGTCACCATGGTTACTATAATAACGGTCATGGCTTGGTTAAGTTTAGGAAAAGATCGTGATTTTGGTGACAATGAGTTCCTCCTCAACATTAGACGATCTTTGTTGTCATGGTTACAGTAATAGCAACGTGGTTAACTTTGTCACTTTGTAACAGTCATGGAAAATAGAAACAGCATGATCAGCTGGTTTCATATGGGAATGGAACAGCGCTCTCCTCCGTCATATTCATCCATCCGCCACAGCCTCCTCCTGACGTGGCCTTTGTCTCTCTTTATACTACGTCACCGCACTTTTCCCTTTGCTCCTGTCATAATTACTACGACCACTAGAGGTCGCATAGCAACAAAACAATATTATGGGTCATAATAGCCTGCCGCACAGACAGTATCCATAGTTACGTTTATTCTTTGGCGACCTCTGGTGGCCAAACATTAGGGATGTTTGCTACTGGCATGTTGTCGTATCCAAGGGTACGCACAAGCGACTTATGGTGTAAGATTAAGTTGGATGACTTGTTGATTAGTTCACAGGACTGTATGACCTTAGGTGACAGTTCAGATTAGACCAAAAAAGCCATACCTGTCAACCTCTCCTTGCTTCTCTTTGATTATCAATGGGAACTCAGGGATAAGAGTTACATAACATGCAAACAACATATCCTGGTTTAGTCTGAGTGTTTTAACCTTGAAACGGAGCAGGAACACACAGTTATGGTCTGACACAGAACACAGTGCATCCGTCATGTATGGGCCAAACCTGAGCTGCAAAAATCATCCTTGATAGATAGAAGTTATTACATAACGAACAAGGAAGGAGGAAGCATGGGGGACACAGTGTATTTCCTGGTGTGATTCAGTTAGTGGGATAACTAGATACTATAGAAAATATCAGATAGAAAATGAGAAGACATATTAACACATAAAATAGTGCACAAAGGATACCTCTATTTTTTGGCATTAATGAGGAACTGTACTTAAATACTTTAAATTATTAGCATAACTCTTGCTTTATAACAGGTGAGTTAATCCTTATAACTTGGATGAATTTTTCTCAATGCTATAAAGTCCCTATGCTGGCTCTGTGCTAGCTCTAGGTTCATATTTGGTGTACTGACATGTAAGTGGTATCAACCTTCTCATATAACATGGCAAAAAAGTGAATAAACGTATGGTGTCATACCATCTTGTATAATAATACACACAATGCATCTTGGTGTCAGATGTTAAAATTTGCTTTCCTCTGATGAAAATCATGTGTTTTACCTTGTTAACATCCATATGATGTTTCTATATTATACAATACATGTGATGAGTGAAATAATGATCAACACCATGACTGAGTGTTTCCACCTTGAACTGCAGTGAACCAATGACAGTCTCATAAAAACCAGCCAGGGTTTCATTCGTTTCAACAGGACAGGAATTTCATCATTTTAGGGGCAAGGCCATTTGGCCTTCAGT